CGAGCGTTGGCCCGCTCTGGCATGAAAATCGGTCGCATCGGTAGGTTATGACACGTGTCTGTTGTCGTGTAATTGAGTGCTAATGGGTTTGTTTGTGTGGTTTGCAGAGGACGTGACACCCATTCCGTCGGACAGCACCAGAAGGAAGGGCGGCCGCAGAGGCAGACGATTGTAATTGTAATCAATGGTCGGAATTATAATAAAAACATTTAATAAACTGTTTTGAAACAAATTGATGCTTTAAATCATTTTAATTTATGATTTACTCCTAAATTCTCTTGAAATTTATTAATTTATGAATAATTTTCTAATTTATAACGTTTATAGTTAACCCCTTCAGCGCCTATACTCTATAAACAGTGCTTTTTTTTATTTACTGTACATGTAATTGCTGGCAATTATGTTAAGATTTTGTTGGAGAGTATTTGTATTTAAAGTATAATTTATAAAACTATAGGTTATTTTAAAAGCAATTTAGAGTTATTATCATATAAATGCCATTAAAGACAATAGTATTTTCCATTAGCACAGGGTTTCTAATTTGAATTCATTTTTATTTTTTGAATGATACTAAAAAAACACTGGCTCTCAGAGTCGATAACTTTACTCTGTTTATGAAACTTTAATAAAAGCTTGTATTCGTACGCTAATAAAAGTATTATTAGTATAACAAATCGTAATTTATAATGGCCATAAACGTATGTTAGCGGCGAATTAGCGTAACAGACGCCGAATCTGAATCCCAGAGTTGTCGCTTCAGTAACATAAAGAAGTTTTATTTTCATAATTCATACTATTCTTTGCGATTGTTTCGTACAATCATTAATTTCCGTGAATTAAATAACACAGAAAAAGGCAATAAATTAATGGTGTTTTTGTTGATCGCGAGTTGCGATAAACCATAGGCACAGTCAAAGCCGAGGCGACTGTTTGTATGTTTTATTTGAAACGCCTAATAAACTAACATCAGGTGTAGTGATCTTACCTAACATATAGTCTCTAGTGTTATGGAGTTCAACCCCATTATAGTTTCTGGGTCATTAACTTCGCGTTCCACTAAAAAACTTATATTTCGGATAAAACTTTTGTGCGAAACTTTTTTTTTCATCCATAAATATATAAGATTTTTATTCAAAAAATCAGGTTATGTTTGCTCTTAGCGTTAAACTTGTCGTGAAGTTTAGGTTATTTTATCGGGAAAATATATTTAATGTACATCTTTTTAGTTTTTTATTTTATATTACTTATTTAAGTAGGCTGTGTGTGTGTGTGTCAACACAAATCAGTTTAAAGTGTTTTTTTAAATAAATTTCGACCAACTCTTCAGCTTATTCTTGAGGAAGCCTAACGGACCGAACGCCGCTTTGTAGCCGTAGTTATTCTTGAGGGGGTCGGTGAACGTGTGGTGTGTGTAGTATTTGCTGAGTTGTGTCAGGTCGAGCCCGGGGGGCAGGTGGTGGGGCTCGTCTTTGAGCGCTTCGTGCATCTGTTTGATCTGTTGCTCGTAGCCGGCGGGCACCTCCTCTCCCCCGTGCGGACCGCTGATACTGAAACTCACGGACCCCTCGTCGGGCTCCTCGGCGTCCGGATCGTAGGTCGGCTTCGCGACCACCGTCTCGTCCACGTAGGAGGCGCTGGGGTTGTAGTGCTCGCCGATGTTTAGCTTCCGGTTACTATTGCTTTCACTCGAGTAACCGGAACTGGGATTTTGTGGCACTACTGCCGGCGCCGACGGCCTGTCGATGGGAACCCATCGGTTGCTCTGTTGATTGGATGGCGTGAACGTCCCCTCCTGCTTGACCGGTGCGTACGATGAAGGGCTGGCACTCATGTCAAAGTTGGTCTGATAGTTAGGGTAAAATTGTTGGTATGGCTGTGGGCTGTACTGGTGCTGACCACTCATGAATCCGTTGTTTCCCATATTCTGGTCACCGGAATACTGCTGACCATTATTCTGATTGTAATAATTTTGATAATTTTGATGATTGTTTGGACTGAAGAAGTTCTGTCTGTTATCCCAATAATTTGCATAATTTTGTGGCATTTCTTGATTTTGACCAAAGTTTGGGTTTTGGTAATTAAACTGATTATTATAGTCTTCGGCAAACCTTCGGTTTCGGTGATGTATTTGATTGACATTTGGCGTCCAGGCTGGCGACGGATGTGGTAGCGGTGGTAATGGCACGGGTGGGCCCATAAACTTTGGCGGTTCAGCATAAGTGGGATAATTACCAGTGTTATCGTAAGCCAATTGTTGGTCGGGTACGGCTGCCGTGTCTC